TTTTTTTATATTTATAAACTTGACATTATGCTTAAAAAATGCTATATCCTATCCTCCATCCTTGATCATTTTTTTTTTTTTTTCCATAATTCTACTTCCCAACCCTCCAGTCATGACTAATATCCTGAATTCTTGTCACATCAATGCACAATCCCTTACTGCACACTAGAATGAATTTCAGGAACATTTACTTGATAATTTTTACCACATAATAATAGCAATACCCGAAACCTAGTTAAAACCTTTTATCCCTTAATTCCAGATTTCCCTACCCAATTATTCCTTCCTACTATTGTAATAGTATAGAAAAGTAAAATTGTAAATAGTTACTACTGAAAATATGTATATAAATTATTAGAGCGTTCTTCATTATTTTTATTTCATGTTTATTTTCAATTTTTTGTTTTTTTATTTTTAACTGATCTAAATTAGTATGTAACTTATAATTTTTCTATTATTTTTTTTATTTTGACTATTTAATTACTCTATATTTTTGTTTATGTATCTCTAAGGCTCCTTAGCCCATATTATTGTCTTTTTATATTACTCTAAAGGGACTCGTCCCAGAATAAATAAAGCATTATTATTATTATTATTATCTTTACCATTCATGCTTCATTATAGCATATATATATAAAACAATTTCATTTATTGTTAGTTTTGATACATTTTATATAGAAATAACAGAAATAATATTTAATATGTAGAAATCATTCTTTTTTGACATTATTAAAAAAATCTAATAATTAAAAACAAATCACTGCTCGGTACTAGAGAGAGAGAGAATCACTTTATTATCATAAAATAAAATAAAATGGTGCTGCCCAATTACATTGGGTTGCTAACAACACAGCATACTTATTAATCACTACAGACATTATTTAAAATTATTATGCAATTATAGGATTAACAATATGTATGAGCATAGTATACAATATTTTATACGTATATATATATATATATATATATATATATATATATATATATATATATATATATATATATATATATATATATATATATATATATATATAATAATAATTATAAGGCTTAGCGAACCCGAAGGTTCGATGCCGACACCACCAACCGCTTGTTACACACCTCCCTCCACCGTTCGCCGTCCAAACCCAGTCCCTTCAGATCGGCTTTAATGCAATCTTCCCACCTTCGCTTCGGTCTTCCACTCGGACGCTTACCATTCGGCACAGCAAATATTAACCTTTTAGGAATTCTCTCGTTACTAAGCCCAACAACTTTACAAGACCATTTGATTCGCCGCGATGAAATTACCTCAATTATATTACCCGGATACATCTCACGCAATTCGGCGTTGTGTAACCGTCTGAACTCTCCGGTTAACTCATCCTTCTTCGGTCCGAATATTCTACGCAATACTTTATTTGCAAAAACCTTAAGACGCTGCTCATCCCTTAATGTAAGCGGCCAAGTTTCGCATCCATAAAGAACTGTAGGCAAGATAATTGTTTTATAGATTCTAATTTTTAAGTTTCGGGACAAGAGGCGCGAACTAAGTAGTTTTGTCACAGAAAAATAACAAGCATTCCCCGCCTTCAGTCTAACCTTAATCTCTTCTTCAATTTCGTTTTTTCTAGTTATCGTAGAACCTAGATACCTAAATTTATCTACCTGTTCAAACATATTACCATCTATATCGATATCACCAGTAGTATCGCCATTTTTGCAGCTAACCATATATTTTGTTTTATCCACGTTTATTTCGAGTCCTAGTTCTTTACCGGCTTTCATTAACGTTGTCGTATTTAGTTTTATAGTTTCAACGTCTTCGCTTAACAGTACCAGATCATCAGCATAGCCCAGCACGGATGTTGTCCCGCCCAGATCCAACCCTTTCTCGGTTCGCATTACTTCCCTAATGGCATGTTCTAATGCCAAATTGAACAGGACAGGCGAAAGAGAATCCCCCTGTTTTAAGCCCGAACGAACCTCAAATTTTTCGGACAAATTATTACCGATTCTAACTTTATTGAGTGTCTCCGTCAAGCACATCCTGACTAGATTTACTAGTTTTTTTGGAATCCTCTGCTCGATTAGAATATTATACAGTTTCTGGCGGTCAATAGAATCGTAAGCCTTTTTAAAATCTATATACAGCTGGTGAACAATACCGTTATACTCCAATTTTTTCTCTAATATTTGCCGTAAAGAAAATATTTGATCAATAGTCGAACGATTCCGTCTAAATCCGCATTGGTAGTCTCCGATAATTTCCTCGGCGTATTCCGTGATTCGACTGGTTAAGATTAAAGTGAATATTTTATAACATACCGGAAGCAGTGAAATTCCTCGATAGTTATTACAATCCGTCCTCGGACCCTTTTTGTGAATCGGAATAAGAATAGATTCTTTCCATTCTTCAGGTAATTTCTCGTTCACCCAGATCTTTTTAACCAACCGATGTATTTTAGAAACTCCAGCTTCTCCGCATGCCTTAATTAGTTCAGTAGGAATATTATCGATTCCCGCTGCTTTATATGATTTTAATTTTCCGATAGCTACTTCAACTTCCTCTTTACTTGGTCCTTCTATTAATGGTTCAGCACTCTGGTACTCAGAAGGAGGACACAGATCATAATTTACCGTATTTAAAATATTGTCAAAGTGGTCCTTAAACTTATTCAATATGTACACCGGATCGGTCAGAATATTGTTATTATCATCCCTAATTCCAGACGTTACGGGCCCTACATATTTACGTGATCTGTTTATACCTTTGTACATTTCTCTTACGTTATTTTCAATTCTATTAGTTTCTATTTCAATTATTTTATTTTTAAGATACTCCCTTTTTTTATTTTTGAGCAATTTTGTCGTTTCGTTCTTTGAGATTCGGAAGTATTCCAGATTGTCTTCGCTAGGATTATTTAGAGCTTTTAATTTAGCGGCTTTTCTTTTTTCACACATGTTTAAGCAATCTTCATCAAACCACGGTTTGTTATTCTTATTTTCCTTTTTTCCTAGACACGAGTTACCGACCGCTTTAATATTATCTCTGATCTCTATCCATAACTTGTCAATATCCTCGTGGTCCTCGTCAGGAAGCTCTAAAGCTTCAAACCTATTCTTAACATCTAGCTCGAATTGGTTTCTAATTGATGGATTTTTTAATTTTTCCAAATTAAAATTCTCAAAATCGAAACGGTTTTCTTTTCTCTTTTTTATATTAAGTTTTTGTCGAAGTTTCGCGATTACTAATTCATGATCCGACCCACATTCTGCTCCGCGATAAGACCGTACATTAATTATACTGCTTTGCCAGCTGTGTTGTATCAAGACATGATCGATTTGATTTCGTGTTTGCGAATCCGGTGATGTCCAAGTATATTTATGAATATCCTTATGTTTAAACGTCGTACTTTTAATTATCAGGTTTTTCGAGATGGCAAAGTTTATCAGACGGATCCCATTATCATTACTATATTCGTGCAAACTTTCTTTACCAATCGTCGGAATATAAACTTCTTCCCTTCCTACCTTTGCGTTCGCGTCACCTACAATTATTTTCATGTAGTTTCGTGGTAGTTTATCATAAACCCATTCGAGTTTATCGTAAAATTCACTTTTGACTTCATCGTCACTGTCTTCGGTCGGACAATGTATGTTTATTAATGCGATTTTAAACCAACGTCCCTGAAATGTAGCTACCGAAATTCTATCACTAAAGAATTGTACGTCCCTCAAAGCGGATAGTAATCTACGCCTAATTAGAAACCCGGTACCTAAACAATGATTCCCGCTTCCTCCGTACCAAATAGTGTACTTCCCTTCCCTCATCGAGCCCTCCCCTGGCCAGCGAACCTCTTGCAGAGCCACGACATCCAAATTGTACCCATTTACCTCATTCGCGACCGATTTTAGCCCCCCTGCTGTGTTTAAACTCCTTACGTTCCACGTACCAATATTTAAATCCCTATATTTCAACTTGCGCCATGAATCCCCTAAAGCAGTCCCCACCCGGAGACCCGAACGGGTGACTAGTTTACCTCCGGATAATGAGCGTTTTACCTTAGGGAGATCCATGACTTTTTGTGGTGTTTGGTGAACTAAAGATATGTGAGTAGGGCGTTCAATCCTACGTCACACCCTCCAGCAAGTCTGGTGGGCCCCTACCTCCAGCAAGTCTGGAGGGTTCCTCTCATTGTTGGTCAGCGAGTCCATCGGACTTAGCCGGGAGGAACTTCCAAGGAATTTCCACCGACCATCCCCACATCCGCCACCCGTGGGACGCTCCCCATACGCGGTAATGAGCCCGCGCGAGGATATATATATAAATATTATTATTATTTTATTTTTTTTCTTTTTTTTATCCTTTTTTTTTAATAATTTTTACTATTTCTTTCATTCATTTATTATCATTCTGTACCCTTTCTCTTCCTTCTCTCCTCCTATACATGTTCCTACTCCTCACATTCTCTCCTCTCTCTTTCTAACCTAATACATAAAAAATACATAAAGTACAGTGGACGTGTTCAATAAATAATAATATAATAAATAACTAAATACAATATAAATATAATAAATTGATTATATGCATATTGGAATTTTGTATTGATTCTGGTAATGAAAAATTATTTCTCGTCTCGTGAGTTGGGTACGCACTAGAAGAATTTCAATAAAGCCTTCTATTAAAGTGCAGAAATCTATTATCATAACAATCCAGTAATTGTTTCTAATTATTATTATTATCTTTATTAAATAAAGTAGGAAGAAAAAAAACAACGACATATAACTGAAATAAAACAACATTAATGTTTTATCATTGTTTTAATTATTTATTTTATCATGATACATTTACAGCTTATCACCATTGTTAAGAAAAATATACCAACAATACAAAAAATATCAGTAACGAGGACAAAATATGAAACATATCCTTTTTTTTTTTTTAAATGAAATCCATTGATGTGAAAATGCATAAGAAAACGTCGATTTGATCCAATTCCATTAGAAAACATCACTTTTTAACATGGGAACGGTGTTCCTATTCTATAAAAAAAATATATATTTATAATTTTTTTTTTTTTGCGATACTGATCCTATAAGCACACATGATATATTAAAACTCACAAAACTGCATTTTGCATGCAGCACATGCGGTTATGCTCACAACACAAGTCATTGTGATTGCAGCACGTAGTTGGAGTGCAGCGTACAAAGCCAGTAGCATTTCCTTTATAAATAAATAATAGCAATTCATTACTTTCATAATTAATGATTAGAAATAAAACATAAATAAAAACACTATCGATGTATTCTTCCAAATGACCGAGAGTCAATGTCAGTTGCCATAGAACTCATTAATATTTGCAAATATTTTAGACTAAAGCAAAAAATAATTCTTCAGCTGTCAGAAAGCCAAATTCCATAAAACGGTAACACGATCAATCTAAAAATGACAACCCATATTGTACTAACTAACATTCTAAAGTAATACTAGATCTCACCACATACCATATATTATTAAACCAACAGAATATAAAACCTAGATTTCTCGCATATTCCAAAATGTGCCGGAAACTTTTATAATGTACACCGATGGATCTTAATAAGACAAATCTGCAACATCATCTTTCATGATCAATTTCTAAAATAAAACTTAATAATCTATGTAATGTACTTACTGCAGAACATAATCATCAGCAACACTTTGCTCGTGTATGTCATCATACCAACACTTATTTTATTTTCTCCCTACGTCTCATCAATTCCCTCTTGAAGTACAATTACGATTTACAATTAATTAATTTGCAAATGATACCACCATGTTTATTTATTTTTATACAGCCGTCGCGGTTTCCGTATTGTCAGGTATTCTTTCTGGAATCGGTCCTCTTTTCTCTAGTCAGAAGCTTAGTAAGTCCATGAGAGATTTCCACTCATACACAAAATCATTTAGTAGAACAGAATAGAATAGAAAATTGAACTTTATTCTAGGACTAAGTCCCCTTAGAATAACAATGATAAATTAATACAAAAATAAAATACAAATCTGGTCAAAAACTAACTTATAAATATTCTAACATTATTTAAAAAGTAGTATGTAACCACTAAACTACACAATTTATAGACTACACAATATATAGACACATATATATATAACTACACAATAACTACAAAATTTATAGACACAAGGCTATCTAATAGAGGAATAACTTAATACAATATGTAATGATATCTACAGTGATTTATATAATAATATTCAAACACTAAGATAAAATAAAATCTCATGTAAAGGATTAAATGTAATTCAATGGAAAAAAAGGAACTATATATACGTACATACTCATAATGGTACACAGAGAGACAAAAATTATATAATATAAACAAATATCCCCGAGAGAAAAAGCACAACCTGAGGCGAAGAGAAAAACAAATAAATAGTAAGAATAATAGTCAAACTTGATGAAATAGATCATTGCTGTTTTATGTTAAAACTTAAACAATAGGCACCACTATTTACTTATCACAAATTCAGTTCATAAAATAAAATTTATGGTTGTGAATCGTCTATTTGGGATGTAAGGAGATATTGGAAAAGGAGGAATTTGAAAGTTGACAGGGAAGAGACATGACGGATGTTATGTGGTAATGAATTCCAGTAGGAGACGAAGCGGGCTAAGAATTTAAGTTCATTGGTTTTTGTCATGTGGAACTGGTTGTTGCTTTTTATCACAGTGTGGCAGCTCTATTTAATTTAAGAAACAGAGCCTAGATTACTCCGTAAATTTTGATGTCAATGGTTCACAGGCGGTACAAGTTATAAGGTCGTGTAAGTGATCTTTGGTTTGCCGTATTTGGGGGCATAATGGGTTCGATATTCTGGACAAGATTGTGAAATATGCCGTGGGAGGAAAGGATTGCGGTATCATCAGCAAATGTTGGCAGGGAGGTATTGGATTCGTAGGGACGTCAGCAGTGTAGAGGATGCAGAAATCTGGACCCAAGACGTTGCCTTGTGGAACACCAGCTTGTATTGGATAATGGTTGGAGAGTTCAGTGTCGCAGCGTACTTGAAAGGAATTGTTGGAAAGGTATGATCTTAGGATTAAATATAATGATTGGTTTATGTGGATTTTGAGTTTGAAAAGCATACCATTGTGCCACACCCGGTCGAAAGATTGCGCTACATCCAGAAAGGCATCGGTGCAATATTGCTTAATTTCAAATGCAGACGATGTGTGATCAACAACGCGATTGCCTTGTTGAACTGTGGAATATCCTGAGTGGAAACCAAACTGATGTAAGGGAATTTCTCGAGATCCTGGTATGGGTAGGATTCGTTTGAGGAGGATTTTTTCAAATTCTTTTGAAAGGATTGGGAGAAGGCTTAGTGGTCTATAGGATAAAGTGTCATTTAGAGATTTGCCTAGTTTAAGGAAAAGGATGATTATGGAGTGTTTCCATATCAGAATAAAGTGTCCTGTGGAAAGGATACAATTGTATAGGTAGGTAATGAATATAACAGCGTTTTTAGGAAGTTGTCGAAGGATTTGGCAAGGGGAGAAACCGAATTCTGGGGATTTTCTGGGTTTCAGTTAATCTATCAGGAATTTGACCTCAGAGGGGTTAACAGATTTAGGAGGTAAGGAGGGAGGTACCGGGGAAGAGAGGAATTCCTTAGCTTTGGCTGCGTGAGAGAGATTTTGTCCAGGATATGGAAAGCATGTTTTAGATAGGTGTTTTGCAAATTCCTCTGCCCTGTTCTCATCTGATGAGGCCCAGGCGTCATCTTCACGGCGAGGGAGTGGGAAATGGTGTGGTTGGTATTTTAAGATTCTTTTTGTTACATTCCAGAGAGAGTTACCAGAAGTAGAGAACAGGGAGAGGTGGAAATTGAAAGGGTTAGGACCTATAGACGGTCAATTTCTTTGTTAACAATTTTCAAATGTTGTATAATTTGCGGTCGCCAGGATGCCTGGTTCTTTGCCAGTGGGATCTGGAATATCGTTTGTCCTGAATAAGGTCTGCAGGTCATGAGGTAAAGGATCTTTCTTGCGGTATTTTAGAGAAGGAAGAAGTGAGGAAGCAGTCCAAACTACCTGTTGGATCAAGGTCGTGAAGGAATTTGCGGTATCATCTAGATCTTCTGGAGTTTATAGAGATACTCTGAGGTCAATTTTTTCATTTAATATTTGTTAAAAAAAAGTTCCAGTTAACTGGGCCTCTTATGAATTAAGGTGGATGCAATTTAAGTATTGGTGATGTGAAAAGATTAGGATGAGCGGACAATGATCAGTGGATAGATCATCGAGCCCTGAAATAGAATAATTCAGTGGCCCTAGACCATTGAGGATGAAAAAGTCTAGGAGGTCGGGATTGCGGTTAGGATCAGTTTGCCAGTATGTGGGAGTTTTGGCTGAGAGGATTTTTCTATGAGAGGAATTAAGTGCAGAAAGGAATGCCCGCCCTTTTGTATTCGTCGTTGTGACCAGTGTTGCCGTTTGTACGAGGATCCTCGTATTTGTACGAGGTTATGACGTAATGTACGAGGTACGAGGATAGACCAGCCTCGTACCTCGTACATAACTTTTACTGACGTATGCAATGCAAGGTTATATTTTTATGAATGAAGTTTAGAATTTTTTTTACTGTATTAATATTTATATTAGTATGAAATACTGAACTTCGGTTGCTTTCTAGACAAATAAATTGGAATCATATCTTCTTTAATTAGAGAATGATCCATTATTTCCTTCATTAAACTTTTTTAGTAAATATATATTTTTTAAAATGTGTTGTAAAGGAAAAATAAAAAGAAACTTTTATCGTGCATAAAATAAAATACGAGAAAGTATAACCATTATTTCCTTCGTAATTATTATTTCCTTCATAAAACTGCAATTGTAAATATATTCTAGATAAATTAAATTTTTTTTAAAAATTATTACTGTAATTTTAAAAAAATATTTTCGATTTTTAATCGATTAAAGTAATTAATTGAAAAATGAAGTAGTATTCATAATGAACCCATCTTGAATAATAGGGAAAACAAGTTTTTTTCAGTGGTCCACATTTATTTTGTGCGAGACCTAATTGTAAGCTAAATACTGAAACAATCACAATCTATTCATTTTTTATATCATAATGCATATTTCTAAAAGCATCAATGCCCCAAAATTAATTTTTATTGGCCTTCCAGAACCACTAATGTCGTTTCATAAAAGTAGTTGTTTTGTTTTTACATAAAAGAAAAATTAGTCCTCCCCCAAATTAAATCGTGGATCTACTAATGTATATTGATGAAGAGTACTTTAAGAAGTTTATTTTGTTATTTCAATTTTTATATAAAGTGTCCAGCAGTTTCTAATAAAAATATATAAATTTTTTTATATATTTTATTAAGCGAATTTTACTTCCTGACCATTTAACTTTAAAAAAAAGTAATGTAAAAAGGCTTTAAAATATGAATAGAGGTAAAAACAAAAAGCTCTGATCTAATTTTACTATAAAAAAAAATAACATAGCTTACAATAGTGCTAGTTATGAATGAGCAGGCGTACGAGGATGTACGAGGCTTCAGTACGAGGTTTTGTAACAGAGCGCGCGGCAACACTGGTTCTGACTCCCTATTGCTGGTGTTTAGCATTTAGGTCTACACCTAGAAGGAAATGGTGTCCTAAGGAATTAAGAAAAGATTCTAGTTGGAATTCGGGAATGGATGTTTTAGGCTGGGAATATGTTGCATCAATTTTTAAAGGAAATAATGGGGTTTGCATTGTGACTGTAGTGGCATATAGGAAATCAAGGATAGGTAAGTGGAAGTGATGGTGAATAGATTGATGGGTGATAACAGCAGTATCAGCATGGGCTGTTCCATCGGTGTTGGCCAGTTCGATAGATTTGGTAGTTAGCTATGTTAGTTTGGTTTTAAACACCATTCGCATTCCAAAAGAGAATGAAAAGAGATTAATTTGTGGTCACGTGAAGATTTTTGGGGGTGAAATTAGATTTGACATGATTTGACGGTTATGAATGGAGTGATGAGGGATCTGAACTCAGAGAGGAATGATGTGAGTAGTCTGGTGAGGTGACTGGCATTGTTAGAAAGAGGTACGTAGGAGATTTGGTGGTGACCGGGGTTTTATGTAAGTGGGTGAGTTTGAATATCATGGGGTTGTCAACGACAAGGCTTGAGGTTGAGGACTCTGCTCAATATCTCTTAACATTTGGAAGTAGAACAAATGTTCATTCCCTATTCTGTAATGGCGTCTGGATGTTCTAGGAGATTTAGATGCCTCTTTCTGCCCAGCAGCTGTTTTCATCCTTCATTTTAAGATTTTGTATGTTACACATCCCTTATAGTTAGTTGGCCGATTTTCCTTGGTGACATAGTGCACATACTGCTGGATCCTGTCATAGCTTCCTGCAGTCCTCTGTTATGTGTTGTTTCCACACTTAAAACTGCGAGATATGTGATGGCAGTAGTAGATTGGATTTAAAATCAAAGGTCACCCGAGGATGATCCTCCTTCATCACCATTACTCTCCGCTTTTTCCTTTCAAGATGGCGGCGAAAAAAAGCGTTGCTATAGACTGTAGCTCCTAAACGAATTTACTGATTTCAATGAAATTTGGCTGACGTCTTCTTTTCGATGCCCTTTAAATTTTTCTATATGACATAATTCAATGAAAAGAAGCTAAAAAAAAAGTTGCGAGTGATAGTAAAATTAGATTCAGATTAACTTAAAAATTATAAACTTTTTTTTAATACTGTATGTATATGGTTATGTAAAACTTCTCCTGTTGAATTGAAATTTCCTTAACACCAAAAAAAAAATTTGTTGAAATCGGATAATTAGGAGCACAGATTTGGTCTCCAGATTTTTATATGTTCTACTGCAAAGGTTACATCCTTTGTTTTGGTTTTTGATTTTGGAATGTTACTGATGTATTGCTATTTTTTTTAAACAAATAAGAAATGATGAAAATAAAATGTTAAGGCCGATTATTGAAATCACCTTTCATTTCTTTTTCTTTGTCACTAAGAAAGTGAAGTTAATTTGATGTATAATTGTTTGGAAATAACAAATCAATGTAAAATAATTTGCAGTGTTTTTTATAACATATAAACTTTTAAATCTTTATTTTTTATAAAATTAATATTTTATACCGTTTAATGAGTCAACAACTAAAAATATAACTGTTTTAAGTTTCTAGCATGTTCTCTCTTAAAAAAAAACTTTTTTTGAGGTGCGCGCATCACATAATTTTCAATTACCACTTACTTTGAACAGAAGTTATTGTATGGCGAAATTGAGCTATTACAATGCATTTGTAATATCAATTTTTAATGGAGCTAAACCTTAAAGAACACATTTGTGAATTTCGGTCGTATTTGACGAATGAAATAATTTAAGCCATCGAAATAACACAAATCCTATTATTATATCGAGGGTGCGAAATAAAACCTAATAATCCTTCAGTCTATTTTAAATTCCAATATCTCAACAATATCACTTTGTACTTAAACACTTATTTCTTATCTTGTAAAATTTACCATAGTTACAGTTATGGGCTTTAGAATAAAGCATTGATAGTTCGAAATTCGTCAGATTAATTATAAGTGCAAAATGTTTTGATTTTATATATTAAGTATTCTTCACATCATTCAATGAATTCATTTCCTAAAATCTTGTTTAATAACATTTTATCCTACCGACTCATAACTCTTCTCCAAATATGTTCTAAACTTTTCAAAAATTAATGTACAAATATTGACATTTAAAATAAAAAATGTGAATCCATCCCAAAAATTTCTCGACGACTTACAGTATAACGCGAATGCGATTGATTGATATACTGACGGACAAATATATAATTCCTGGCCATCAGTTAGGTTTTTGTGCGTTCCATTCAATAAAACAACAATTACACACAGTTATTGACTACATTGCTAGAGCAGTAGGGGAAAAACAATAGGCAACCGGCGTGTTTCTGAATGTTGCCCATGCATTTGATAAAGTCTGACACAAGAGATTTCTCTATAAACTCAAAAACGAACTACCTTATACACATTATCTCATTCTCCAATCTTTCCTTTACTAATCCATTCTAACATTTAAACTCCTAAAAGAAACGTGCCCATCAGTTTATATAGAAGAAAACCCAAGTCCGCAGCCGGACAGCACCTTGGACTGATATTCGACAAAAGGATGACCTGAGACCCACAAGTCAAAATGAAACGACAGACTTTAAACAAGCGACAGAAAATACTGTACTCATTTATTTCTAAATCAAAATTGAAAGTTTGACAAATACTAAATACATACATTTATCTACTCAAAACCATCTGGATATACGCCTCTCAGATTTACGGTTTGGTAAAAAAGACGCACTCACAAAAACTACTGTCATTTCAATCCAAAATTTTACGAATTATAACAGGGGCTGCCTGGTACGTCAACAACAAAACTTTACACGACTTACGACAATTAACTATAGACCAACGCATACGTACTCTCTTCTCTCGTTTTCATCTCAAACTACAAGAACATACAATCTAAAGCTATTAAACTTCGAATAACATATTATTGATGAGAAGTTTAATTATCAGAAAATGTAGATACTTAAATGTAATTGAAATATATTTAGAATGTATAGAGGTAATGAAAAAAAGTATTTGTTTTAGGAGTAGAAGTTCAAGTTCATAAAATAATAAAGTGAGAGCACAACTAATTCAATCTGATAACTTGATTGCTTATTTTTAAAATGCATCAAAACTTCAGTGTTTAACTGCTGGTTATGACCATATGGTATGTAGAATGAACGATACAGTCTGGTATGAAAATATTCAGTATAAAAGAATATTTTATATTTAAAGAGAGCCAGAACTTAATGGTATTCGACATACAGGAAAGAGATCAAAAGGGTGTCCCACAGTTTCATATCAGGAGGCCACGCAGAGGATCGGAGATAGAAGAGACAAATCCTTCAACCAAATGAAGCGGTTAAGCAGAGACCAGAAAGAGTGGCTGCGCTGGAAGAAGAAGAGATCAGGAACATCTATCAGATGCTCGTTAATTAATATTGTAATCAAACTGGAGATGAGATATACCACTACCCTTGAACGGTCTTCATGAATTAAAATGTGCATGTTGCAAATGTTTTATATGTTGTATATACATATGAATGAATGTATAGGATCTCATTTGGACTTAATAGATATCTGCAAAGAAATTATACTTATGGTACTACTAAGAACCACGTCGAGCTTTCAAACGGTTTAAAAAAAAATTATATTTTTAATTATTTTATTTATAACTTTTAATAAAAGATTATGAATAGTTTCGATGAATACGTTTAGAATTGCAATAAGAATTGCAAGTAACCCGAAAAACTAATTTTTATAGTAATTGAACAATAAAAAGTTATCTATGTAATCATATAATCCCATATTGAGAACATAAATTCCAGTTGATCACAGTGCCTTTCACAATCTAACGGTAACTTGCATGAAAAAAAAATGTTTTGATTTAGTTTTGATTTGAATTTACTCTAGTTTTCAGGTTTCTTTTAATTTAAATGTATTGAAAATATTATGCAGAAAAACGTAATTTTTCAGTTAAGATCTGAGACTTTGAACCACAAATTTGTATTCGCAAGCAGAAAAGACATGTTAATGCGATGTTTGGGAATTCATACAAAGATTTTTTTGGTTAACCTCTTTTATTCAATCCTAACTCCGGAACTATATATATTACAAGCAATAGTTTTATTAATTCTTATACTTGCCTTTTACATTGGCCTCACCTTCATTTTGATTTTCATTATCCGCCAAAGAGATAACGAAGAACAAAGATATAAGAAGAATGGGAATGAACTTCATATTCAGCAGGTTCGTGAATCTGTTTGTAAAAATATCTATGTGAAGAATTTATAAAAGATAGGTGATTAAGGAACGTATTAATATATGGATTAATTTTTCAATTTTTTCTGATGATAGCTTCCCAAAGTCAGATCTTATCTTTCAGAAAGCCGTTCTTATCCCGATATTGTAAAAACTAAGATAAAAATTCGCAGAAAAAGAGATGACTTTTCTTGTTTATCCACTTTTTGTAAACAAGTCTCCTTCAAATTTTCTCGAGCATTATAATATATACTTATATATGTGATATTTAATAATAAATTTGTTATCAGAAAATTATCTATTTCTTACTTGAAAAATATGTGATTTATACACCTATATATCAAATCACAGTTATATATAAACATATAATGTAAAAAAAGGTAAAACAGTTATTAAAAATATAAAATAAATTGACGTAAATAATATAGAATAATATATATAATAATTATCAATGGGGAGAGTGGGCTAGCTCAGCGATAGGACACTGACCTTCCAATGCTCAAGGTCCAAGGTTCGAATCCTAGATCATGGCAGAAAATTATTTATTCCGTTTTATTAGCCATGGGGCGACGCTTGGGTCAGGAGACCCACTTGGGGCACACCCATACCTGGCATTGAGAGTGATCTCAGTCAAATCACATCCTTGCTCAACCAAGACCAGGACTGGTAAAAAAATTCGATTTTTTAAATAAAAATTAAGGCAAAATAGTTACTAATAATTGACAATCTTAGTTACTATGTGCTAATAATTGGCATAACCAATATACTTTTGCATTTAAATCCTCTAATTTTTCATTCGGGCTTAGTTCGGTTTCTTCTATTTAAAAAATTACTGTAATATCTGTATAGTAATAAGATAATAAGTAACCGCAAGACTGTTGCGAGACTCTTGCGCAAGACCAAGACAATGGCCAAGACTGAGTTTGCAAGATCAAGACTCGTCTCTATCTCGCATTTGATCAGCAATAGTTTTAGTGGTACAGGTTATTCTTTTTTTTCATTAAATGCCAAATTAAGTAAGGAGCGACACAGATTTGATGAAATTTTAATATATTACGTAACAACACATATAACGTAAAATCCCAGACTTTACCTGATCCTAATGATTAATTTATAGAATTATGATCATTTAAACGTATGATATATTAGAAGTTCAATGGACGTATATTATTAAAAAGGAATATCTAATATTCAATTTAATGATGAAATGACATTAGTGGGCTTTTGGATTTAAAAAGTTTTATTTCAGTTTAATGCAAATAAAGTAACATTTAATTGACCAGTTGGTTATTCATATAAGACTGCTGAAATTTCTCTCTTTAAATATCTTAATAGAACCATATAGTGCAAAAACTACAAGGCGGTAAAATTATGGGTCGATATTGGTGGATATCAGAGTTTAAAATGATTTATTACAATGCATATCATATAAGCATTTTTCATGTTGTGGAACATACTGTTCAACAAAGACAAATTTAATATTTTTAGATTGAGAATGTAGAAGTTTCTATTTTCATTTGAAAAAAAAACGAAGTAAGCAATTGGAATAAATAGCAACATTAATGCTTTATAATTTGTTTAATTATTCTTTTCATTATGATATAAGAGGGTGTATAAGAAAAATGACCATTTTGTCAAATTCGATAGCCCAAAGTACTGTAAACATCATAATCCTATTTAATACTTAATGATCCCTTTGTGCATTATAGCTTGTTAAATCCTATTAAACTTTTTTTAAAAAAAAAAAAACCTCAATTTAGTTATTTGTTTAAAAATAAACAAATTAAAGATGATAGTGTTCTACGAAGTTCTTGTAATTTTAACGCATTAGTGGAAAAAACATTTCACAGCCGCTGAAGCAACTCGTGAAGTTATTAAATACGAAGAGAAAGGTGTCATTGACCAGCGCATTGCATGGCGTTGCTTTGAAAAATTTAGCTGTGGAGATACGGCGTTGGAAAGAAATACGGGCTCCGGATGACATATATTCGTAAATATATATTTCAATATTGATTAGTGGATATTGATGAAGTTCTGCGGGAACTACTCACGAACTTTCCAGGGTATTGTGTGTAGAAAGATACTGTAAGTTCCCATCTCCTCTCCATGAGGAAGGTGGAAAAGAGCAGTACAGTGATTGCTCACGGACTTACTCCGCAGCAATCACATACGAGATTAGAAATTTGTGAAAATTTATTGAAAACCCTTCTAATATGTGATTTTACCCCAAGGTTGTCACCTGTGAAAAATGGCGAGATCCAAATAACGTGAGCAATGGCTAAATCCCGGTCAACCTGCTTTTCCAGTTGCTGCAAGGAGGCAATTTAAAAAAAAAATCCATTCTTTGCGTTTTTTATTTATTTTAAACTTGTTATTCATCCCGATTTTATTTCTGATGGATGCTCTATGAATTCTGAGCTTTAATGCGAACAACTGGAAAGATTGTACGCGAAGTTGTCAAAGCGTTATCCTGTATTGATCAACCAAAAAGGAATTTTATTTTAACAAGCTAATGTTTGTCGTCACTCTTCCCGTCGAACCAAAGACAAGTTTAAAGAACTTCATGGTCTCAATCTCCTGCCTCATCCACCGTATAGTCAGGACCTCGTACCAAAGAATTACTACTTATTTAGATCCATGGTCCATTTTCTTTATGGGAAAACATTGATAATTTTGCGAAGAGTTCTTTGACAGCCATCCCAAAGAATTGTATCAGCGTGGGATCGAGAAATTGGCTAATAGATGGCTATTGATGTTAGATAATAATGGACTATACTTTGAGTATCAATTGTATTTTATTTAAAAGAAATAATACTTCAAATATTTGATCGAAAACGTTTATTTTTTTATACACCCTATAATTTAAAGCTAATCACAATTGTTAATAAAAACTTATTAACGAAATTCCCATTAAAAAAATGGATTCTCACAAATGTTCCTGCTTATTTGACTCTGTGATAATTGTTTTTCATTAGTAATTTATGTTTAAAAATCAATAAAGACGTGATATGAAAAATGATAAATTTTCTGTTTTTATTAAAATGAAATTTATGGCTGTAAAAATAAATGGGATAAAGCTGCTTCAATCTAATTCCTTCAGAAGTAATCTGCAGTTGTGTGCATGCGCTAGATTATAATATACCATTTTTACCTCGTCTCTTAGATATATTCACTTTTTCTTGGAAAATTAGTTATTTTTTAGTAAAATTGTGACCATATGTGAGCTAAACATGTGGACAACAACATGCACTAATGCCTTAGTGAGTACAGTTGTTATTAATTGTGTATAGTTGTGTGAAGTGAAGCCTACGTATAGAGGCTAGTTCTCTTATCTCGCAGCCATAAGTAGCTGGCCCAGACTAGTCAGTTAAGCTTGGCGCCTTAACGGGAGAGGTCTTTTTGCGACGCTGATACAAAATCAAGGTCACGCAGCGTGTTTTAAATATTTTTTTTTATTTATTTTTTCTCTTCCTTTACTTTCTCTTGATGTATTATGCGGTACTACCATCAACTCATTTCTTCTAAGGGTGCAACAACGAGGCCTCGCTCTGACGGATCAACAACACGTTCGTCACCTCCGAAAAAAAAGTCGCTAATCAAAAAGAACGACGCCACCAGCGACTCCACCTAAAGTAGCAGAATACACTCAACCTCAACCAAGTAAATCTCCGGAGACGAAAAATGAGCCTCCATTTTTCACCTCGAATCCTTACAATGAAAAAGAGGCGACACCCATTCCCATAGACCCTCGAGCCCATCCTATTTTCGTTAAAAAATTAAAAACATTTCTACAACTATGCCCACATTTAAACAAAATTACATCTCCTGGTAACTACTGCTCTTTAAACCGGACTAACGATATTAAAATATCTCCAGGCACAGCTGATGCATACCGCCAAATAATTAAATATCTATCCGACGCAAAGGCAGATTTTCACACCTACCAATTGAGGCAAGAGCGTTCCTTGTGGGCAGTAATCCGGAATTTACATCCCTCTACTCCAGCCGAGGCGATCCCAGAAGAACTGACGGCTCTAGGTCTCATAGACCAACATGTCACCAATGTAATGAAGGAAGACAGAGATATATCCGGTGTTAATAGAAAAATACCATTACCCATATTTTTCATAGATTTAGAAACCTCAGCAGGATTCAATAAAATACATGAAATTATAAGATTATATTATGCTAGTGTTAAGGTTGAAAAACCATACACTAAAAAAGAAATCGTCCAGTGCCATAATTGCCAGGTATATGGCCACACCAAAACTTACTGCCACCACATCCCAAGATGTGTGAAATGCGGAAAAATACACAAGACTAGTGAATGCAATAAACTGAAAAGTGTTCCCGCTGTATGTGGTGTATGCCTAGAAGGACATCCTGCCAACTACAAGGGCTGCCAAGTTAACGAAAACATCAAAAATAAATTTCGTAAACCCGCGAACCAAGTAGAAATTTTTAAGTTCAGAAGAGGACCTGCTGAAATAGTAGACTTTAAAGTTTCTTTTTCCTAGTTATTAGGGAACAGAGCCCCGACTGACAAATGTGAGGCCCTGCCGCAACAGGAACCCCAATCCCAACTTCAACATCCTATCCCTCCTAAAACACAAAACACTCAACAACCTCATCAACATCACATTCCTCATATTCCTCATCCATCACAAGCCACAGACCATACCAGTTTGTTGGCATCTTTCTTAACTGAATTCAAATCCCTTGTTACCCCACTGATATCTCTCCTTACAAATCTTGTATCTCACCTCATCCCTCCTTTAGAAAATCCTTAAATGAATTCCATCAAACCCTTATCCATTCTCCTTTGGAATGCAAATGGTGTTAGAAATCACACTGACTAACTGACAGCTCCATTACTAGACAAGACCGTTGATGTAACCTTATTATCATCAATCCACAGCTATCATAATCAAGACATTCTCCTTTCCTATTACCCTTGCATCAGCGTATTTCCCTCCAAA